TAAAAAGGCTGTCGTTTCCGTACTTAACTGATTTCATCTCCTTGTCAAAAATCAGTTGACTGTAGGTAAATGGGCTGATTTATGGACTCTTAATTCTATTCCATTGATCTATGTGTCTGTCATTGTACCAGTACCACACTGTCTTGACCACCATAGCAGTGTATTAGGATTTGAAATCAGAGAGTGAGATGCCTCCTACCTTGTTTCTCTTTTTAAGGAGTGCTTTTCTTATTTGGGGGGCTCTTTGCATTCCAAATGTAATTGGAGATTGCCTTTTCCATCTTGTTGAAGAATGGAATTGGTATTTGTATTGGGATTGCATTGAACATGTAGATTGCCTTTGGTAATTTTGTCATTTTCACAATATTGAGTCTTCCTATCCAAGAGCAAGGTTTATTCTTCCATTTCTCCAGGTATCTTTTTGTTTCTTGTAGTAATGTTTTGTAATTTTCTTTTAATAGATCCCTTGTGCTTCAGGTTAGATTTACTCCCAAGTATTTAATTGTGTGATTGGCTATTATGAAGGGTATTGTTTTTCTTAGCTCCAGCTCTGTATTCTCTTTGTCACTGTAGAGAAATCCAACTGATTTTTATATGGTGATCTTGTATCCTGCCACTTTGCTGAATTTGTCAACTATGTCCAGTAGTTTTTTTGCTGAGTCTTCAGGGATTTCTAAGTATACTATCATATCATCTGCATAGAGAGATAATTTTACCTCCTCTTTGCCAATTTGGATACCTCTTATTCCCTTCTCTTTTCTTATTGCTATCACTAATACTTCTAATACAGTATTAAATAGGAGAGGTGACAGTGAGCATCCTTGCCTAGTTCCTGTTCTCAAGGAGAATACCTTTAATCTCCCTCCATTGAGAACAATGTTGGCTCTCAGGTTTGCATATGTACTTTTAACTAAATTGAAGAAATTCTCCTTGAATCCTATTTTGTTGAATGTTTTTAATCAGGAAAGGATGTTGGATTTTGTCAAAGGCAATCAATTGATAGGATCCTGTGGTTCTTGTTCTTTTCCTTGTTAATGTGATGAATTACAGTAATTGTTTTTCTTATGTTGAACCATCCTTGCATACCTGTTATGAATCCCACTTGGTCACGGTGAATTATTTTTTTATGTACCGTCGGATTGTACATAGGGTTTTCAGAGGCCTGCTATTTCAGAAGTGGATGGCCAATCCTTCTTCCTAGGCTGTCTTAATCTGAATGTTTAGGAGTATCTGACAGACAGCAATTTGTGGAGCAGTGAAAGATAAATCCCTCATTGGGGAGTTAACCATTAGTTCCAGTGTAGTCCCTGCCCTTAGCCCAGTGCTTTGACCCA